AGTCGGCCTCCTCCCCCACCAGTACACCCGACTCGCCTCCCCGGCTCCGACTGCTTGCTTCGTCTGTAATGGGGTTTGTCATAACCCCCTCGCCTGATGCAGATGTGATGCGAGAGGCGATGTCAAGCACTGCGTTTGAAATCTAACAAGTGATTAAGCATGAAATTGTACGGCAGATCAGGCCCTCAGCTACTCATTACCCATTGTCAATAAACAAACACGTCTCCTCAAACTGACCTTCCCTGGAAATGCTTTTCAGAGAAACTCGACTCCTCTGCACTTGCCAGAGTCCCCCCCCCCAAGCCGACCGTGTTTTACTGATTAACAGCGTGACTCTGGCCCAAACACTGCACCAAGTCTGCGCTACAATAAGGCCCCGCATTTTACTGAGGGATTACAGCAACTCCTCGCTGCCAGAACCCGGAGCTGTGCTTATTGATGTACGACCACAGCAGCCACACATTGTCTTGGGCTTATTGATAGATCGTTCCAGTCTTCTGCATGACAACCCCGATCTTACTGACGCATTACTGCAACGGCGCGCGAGGATTCGCCCCACACCCGCGCAGGCCCGCCCGCAGGCAAGCACGCACACACACGCACACGCGCCCGCGCGTACGCACGCACGCACACACACACACACGCGCACGCGCACACACAACCACTGATTATATACTTCTAATTCCGCACTAACACAGCCCGTCCTAGTGCTACTAAAACATGTTTGGATGTTGATCCGTGAAGAGCCTGACAAAGGGTAGATGATGGAAAAGGACTGTAAATTGATTGCTTAAGTGATTGCCCGGTGAAGGCAAATCAAAAACTGAATATCTTTGGCAGAGAAGAGAAGAGAAAATCAGCCAACGTCCCACCCATGATCACCAACAAAGGGGCAGGAGTAGACCATTCAGGCCTGAACAGCCTGTTCCACTATTTTATTAGATTACGGCATATCTACTAATCCCATTTCCCCACCTGCAGCTCAGTGGTTAGAGCCCTCGCCCCTCGCAAGCGAGAGGACCTGGGTTTGATTCCCGGGCAGGACAGGACGAAACATTGGGCAAGTTTCCTTACTCCACACACACACACGCCTCTGTTTGCCCAGCAGTGAGTAGTCGATTGTTAGTCGATTGGCGGATCGCTTTTCCTGGGATAATAATCCCTTCCAAAAAATAATAGTAATAATGCGGTCACTCAACCCACGGCTGTTTGTGGGGACGCTGCTGTGCGCAATCGGCTGCCGCGTTTCGCTCGCAAAACATACAGCCAATTCACTTTACAGTGTCTCGAAGACGTGATGAGGCGCTGTGTCAAATGCAAGGATTTTTTTTTATTGTTATTATTTTCTCCCTGTTCCTTAATACGTTTGCAAACCCAGAAACTCTTGCCAGAGGTGCACACACTGACCTTGGAGGAGGACAGGAGGACTTCGAGCAGCCGAACAGCCTGCTGAGGCTCACTGCTCGCACAAAGCCACTTCTAAACAGCCGCTTGGGAGAGAAGCGAAGGAAGTGAGTGACCGGCACCCATGGAACACCCCCCGCATCCCCAGACAGAAAGGGAAGAAAAAAAATGAACCCAATCGATCTTACACCGCTCCCGAACGGGGAGCACAGCGTCACTCAGCCGACGGTGACCTCCGAGAGAACGTAAGCACATTCTTTCTTCCTCGGTTCAAATGCAGACAGCATCTTTAATGGCCTCATTTCTCTGGCTGTCTCTTACGATCCAGGTGACTAGCGAGCCTTAGCGCGTGACAGTCGCTGTCTCACAGAGAGTGTGTTATCCACACACCGCCAGGAATGTGTCGCCGAACATGTAACTGAAGCCAAACTACAACAACAGCAACAAGAGGGGGAGGTGACCATAGGCACAGGTCCAAGAGGAAGGTCTTCAGGGGTGACCTGAAGATGGGGAAGGAAAGGGGAATAAGGCGGAGGGATAGAGGAAGAGACCATCCACAGTTCCACACAGTGTAGTCACTGACCTTCCCACCTGCAGTCATGTTCAGGTGAGTATGGAATCCCACACTAACAATCGTGGTGTGGTAAGTGAATTGCAATACAGCCACATTGCAGTTGGAGAAGCCACTTATCTGTCTGCTGTAAAGTAACTGCACAACACACACACACAGACCCCCACACACACACACAGAGACACACACACACACACACACACACACAAACACACAACCACCTGCTATCGCATTCCAGGCCGTGTGTATTTCCACATCTGCAATCACTTTCCAGATTCCAGTTCTTTTCATTAGATGCAGAATCACGCACACGCAGTCATGTTTCATTAAACGTGTAATCAGTCATGTTTCATTGAATATACGGTCCATACACACACACACACACACATACACACACACTCACGCACACACACGCACCCACAGGCAGTCCCATTCCGGTCCATTTAATCCTACTGGTTTGATTCAGGATTTTTTTCCCAGGATTCAGACCAACAAGATGACCCAAGTTGCTGTCTTGGGCCTGGGTGTCATGGGAAGGGAGGTATCTTGGCTACAGCATGTGCCATCGCTCCAGCTGTGGGAATACTAAAGACTGCAGTCTCTCCAGAGACCTACTTTTGCCCAGAATTGTTATTCCCCACCTCATTTCTTCTCAGCTTCCCACATCTCTAGAGCGAACCGCAGCTTTTTTTTTTAAAACTCAGTTGAAAACACATTAAAACACGAAAGGATTAATGTAAACCCCCATCAGATGTTTTGCTGCAGCAACACCGCCGTGATATGTCCAAGGGCACAGATTGGATTTTGTGCCAATAGAATAAAGGAGCAATTTAGACCTGATTAAAAGACTTTACTGCAGCAAAAAACAACCAAATATTTTTGCATCTTCATTAAATTTAGCAAAGGCTCGTGGGAATCTGGAACCCTCTCCCTCCCCCAAAAGGCTGTGGATTATGGCTGGATCCATTCACATTTTCAAGGTGGAGGTGGACAGATATTTGTGAGGTCAGGGTATTAAGGGACACGGGGCGAGGGCGAGTAATTGGACTTGAGGTACAGATCAGCCATGATCTTATAGAATGGCGGAACAGGCTTGAGGGGCTGAATGGCCTCCTCCTGTTGCTATGTTCCTAGGCTACAAGCATGAGAGTGAGGCTGAATCTGCTACACCAAAATACTGTATGTCGTTGGACTAATTCAGTCAGTGGAACAGATTAACCAATGGCAGATAAAACCAAATCACCAGCAAATTTCAGAGATAAAAGGAATAATAAAAAGCACTTAGCCTAGATTATCTGAAACCGCAAACGGTAGAAGGTTACACACACACAGCAGGTCTGACAACATTGGAGCGAGAGGAACGGATAAGTTAGCGTTTCAGAAATGCAGCAATGAAGGGTTAGCAACTGAAATATTGACCTATATCTTTCTCTGTCAGACGTTGGCAGGCTTTGTTACGTGTAAGATTGCTGTCCGTTTTCAGCATTGTTTGGTTTCACACCAGTAACAATCGCTGAGCACAAGTCAAGAGCACTTGTTGTGTGTGATTTCTGCATTTGCGGTTCGAACAGAAACCTCTGCCGTTGACACCGACTGAGCTGTACGAATCCACTCTACACAGCAGCAAAAAATAAACTGATGTACTTGAGCTACTGAAGCTACTTCTCTGCGGTCTCCAGCGCTTTGAGACGAGAGTCTCTGTCGCTTGGAGTCAGGCTCCGCCACTGTTAAGCCCTTTGAGACACTACCCTGGATGGAGGGCGCTGTATAAGTGCACGTTGTTGTTGCTGTTGTTGTTGTTTGAAGGTCCGTGCTAACACCTCGAATTTTTTTTTTTAGTGTTTCAACAACAATTTACATACATATACACACATATATAGAGAGAGAGAGAGAGAGAAAGAGAGAGAACACCTTTCAAATCGGAAGGACATCTCAAAGTGCATCACACAGCTAATTGGGAGCTGAAGGGTTGGGTGTGGAGGAGTGTGGAAAGGGGGAGGTTGCCGGGGACGGGAAGAGAAATGTGGCCGAAAGCACGATCGGAGAACTGGGTCATGACCTAAGGCGGGTTTTGAAATAGAGCGGGAGTGACCAACGCAGAGTGACTCGGGGATGGAGTTTAAGAGTCCAGGTCCCAAATGGCTGAAGGCTCATCCATTGATGGTGGGCTGGGGAGGAGCAGGAGAGGAATTTGAAGAAGGCTGGTGCTTGCTGAGCCCAGAGAGCAGTTGGGGCAATAGGGTGATAAGATGTCACAGAGGTAGGGTGGGCAGAGACATGGAGTAAGTGGTAAGAATCTTGGAATTCGATCTGCTGGGTGACGGGCAACCAATGGAGCTGAGGGAGTATAAGGATGATGGGTACGTGGAGTCTGGATGGTGGCAATCTGGATGTCCGTGGATGTCCTGAACAAGTGCCATTAAATCAAAAAGCACCTCTCTGCTCCCTGCATGTGCACACACCAGCTGAATCTGTGGCCTGTCTATTTAACAGTGACCTGTTCATTTTACATTCAGAATAATGGTAACCGATATTGGTTAAAAAAAAGCCACGGTAAGATTCCAGGTACCTAGCAACGGTGCTTTGACTGAGCCAGCTTTGGGTTGAGACATGCCAACATCTCGAAGTCTCCACTGTTGAACCAGGGTTGGTCAGCCATCAAAATGCCTCAGATCATTGAGGAGCAGCTTGGCTGTTGCAAGTATCTGGGCTCACAGCCAATTCAACTCCAAAGCTAATTCAACCCCAGGAAGTTGCCACTCACCTGCCCTTTTTAGGGTGGTTAGAATCAAAGTCCTCAAAATCAGTTTTCAGCTCTGATTTGATCCAAATATTCCTGGTAACCCTTGAGCTAATGACAGCTGATTGGAGCTGAATTGAAGGCAATTCGGGTGCAGAATGGCCTGACAATTGCGAATGGCCTGACCTTTGTGTTGGGTTACACGTTGAAATAAAATCGACACTCCAGATTCGATACAGAATAAATCTCTTGGAACGTAAAAGGTGCTTTCCGCATGACCCTTACCTGAAGAGCCTCCACCTTCTTGGCTAAGAGTTTTTCGATATCACCCGCAACTCTTTCCACCAACTGCTTGGCATTGTTCTGCTTAATCTCAAACAGGTGCTTATGGTCATTGTACAGCTGGTGAGAGAGGAGAAAAGGGAGTCAACCAGGGAAACATTCAGAAAGTGAAGCCACAGACAGACTAGACTGAACAGTCATTATAATAATGATAATCCTTGCATTTGATACTGTGCCTTATCACGTCTCCGAGAGAGTCTCAAAGCGCTTCACAGAATATACTGTGAAGTGAATTGACTGTGTATTTTGTGGGCGAAACGCGGCAGCCAATTGTGCACAGCAGCGTCCCCACAAACAGCCGTGGATTGAAGTGACCAATTTATTATTATTTTTTGAAGGAATTATTACCCCCAGAAAAACGATCCACCAATTGACTAACAACCGGGTTCCTACTCACTGCTGGTAAACAGAGGTGTGTGTTTGGAGTAAGGAAACTTGCCTAACGTTTTGTCCTGCCCAGGAATCAAACCCAAGTTCTCTCGCTGGCGAGGCGAGTGCTCTAACCACTGAGCTACAGGACTCAGTCAGTGACAGCAGAAAACAGACAGACAGACAGACAGACTCTCCCGCGAGCCACTCAGACGGGACAAAGATATTGAACGAGAGACAAATCCACAAGCCGTTTCTCTGAAGGAATAGATGACAACTAGTTCTGGCACCAATCTCAATGAGATTGACCTCATTTATACTACCAACGCCAAGAGAAGCTCTTTTCAGATCAGTAAAAAAAACAATATTAGAAACATATAAAGTTTTGAGATTGATAGCCAGGATTAAACCTTTGTGTTGTCAATAAGTACACTAGGCTAGCAAATTGATTCAAACACAAAGGTTGCCAAGCGAATGATTCATTACAGTGGTGATGGGAGGGAAATGTATTGGGATCTCGGAGGCCTGACATTTTCCATAGTTTTAGTCTTAATTTTCACAGAATATTCCATATATATTGCCATTATATTGTAATGTGAAGTGAATTGACCTGGTATTTTGTGGGCGAAACTCGGCAGCCAACTGCGCACAGCGGTGTCCCACAAAAAGTCGTGGATCGAGTGACCAAATTATTATTTATTTTTCAGTATATAGATTTTTTTTTTGAAGGGATTAGTGTTGAATCAATGAATTGTACGCATAAAGAAAGAATTCGCGTTCTTAGAAAAGCGCCTCATCTCGGCTCGGCTCAGAGTGACACGCATCAATGCCGTCAAATGTAGTGACTGTTTTTGGATGCGAACATGGAAACTCCGGCAAGGTTCCACACACAGCCGTGAAGTGAACCAATTAATGAATCTGGATGAGTGTTGGCCAGGCAGTGAGAGAACTGTTGTTCTCCTTTCAAGTGAAATCCTGGGATCCCTATGTGTTCACCTGAAAATAAGCAGATGGGATCTAATTTTAGAATCTCCTCCAAAGGAGAACACCTCTTGAAAATGCAGCGCTCCCCAATGCTGCACTGGTTCCGCCAGCCTACGAGATAAAGCCCCAACAAGACTTGAACACAAAACCTTCTGGCCCGGAGGACGAGTTTGTTACCGATTCAAGAACCTGCCGTGCGCTACTGTTTGGAATCCCTCATGACATTACGGTTTTGTCTGTCAGAGGTTTCCTGTGTCCATACGGACCCGAGATGCCAACAATGCCTGTCCAGATGGACCATGACAGGAATATGGCAGCCAACACAGCCAATAGGTGGGTGAGTTATTGCTGGAGTTGGTGTTGCTGTGGCTGAACGCCACCTTTTGAGGTGAATCTTTCAGTCTCTCTCTGGAGGCAGCAGAAATGTCTGAATTCCCTCGCCGAACAACGACGACGACGGCGACGACTTGCCTTTACACCGCGCCCCTCGGGCAGGACAGCGTCCCAGAGGGCTTGACAGTGGCCGAGCACGACACCGAGCCGTGGGTGGGCGGGGGGGAGGGGGGGCGGGGGAACAGTACAGATTCCATGATCGGGGTCGCTGTTGATGACAGGTTTGTGTGTCGAATGCAACATCATCTTGTTTTTTCTGTAAAAATCATTAACCATCGTTGCTTCAGAAAGGAAATCGCTCTCACTCCCCCCACCCACCCACACCCTCACCACAGCCCCCAATCCCTTTGAGATGATAATTACAGCTTTGCATAGCTATCTGCCATTTGTGTCTCACGCTGTGAGACACATGCACAATTACTAGCAGGGACATCTGTAACGGGTTCGCTTTCCAATGGAAACCTACACGCTATAAATGAGAGCAATTTGAAGGTATTATACGGGTGCATGAAAAGAAGCATATGTCAGGAAGCATTCATCGGTCGGCCTATTAATTGGAAGACTATTACAGAATCATTCTTATGTACGCGCCTAGGTATGAGGATGCAAATGGCATATGTTGAAGAGAACACGGCTGGGTGTTACATTTGAAGCTCTTCAAAGGAAGACCAATTCATGGATTGTAAGTAAAGTCAAATACAATAATAATAATAAATTGGTGACTCAATCCCACGACTGTTTGTGGGACGCTGCTGGGCGCAATTGGCTGCCCCGTTTCGTCCACACAATACAGTCACTTCGCTTTACAGTATATTCTGTGGAACGCTTTGAGACGTCTCGAAGATGTGATAAGGCGCTATATCGAATGCAAGAATTATTATTATTGTTGTTATTATTATTATTGTAGTAAGCAGCGGAAAGGTTGACAAGGTCGATAAAATTCCTAATAGATGCCCTGAATAATAATTTGCCCCTTCATTTTTCTGCTGTACTGTCATGATACACCCCAAATCTCAGCTCCAATCCCTAAATCAATGTAACAAGTGAAATTTTTCATGCCGCAGAGATGAAATATCCACTGTGTCTGTGGGAAGGCATATAAATCGTCGCAGAAACCACAACCACTCACACTCCAGGAGATTTCATTCAATTAGTTTTCTCCAATCCCCTCTTTCCCCTGCGTGAGAAAACGTGCCACAAAAAAAAACACTTGGGTTCTCTGAAACAGTTAACATTCAATCCTCTATCATGATCCCTTCAAAAAATAATAATAATTTGGACATTCAATCCACGACTGGTTGTGGGATGTTGTTGTGCCCAATTGGCTGCCGCATTTCGCCCACAAAACATGCGGTCACCACGATTTACAGCGTATCCTGTGAAGACATGATAAGGCACTGTACCGAACGCAGGAATTATTATCACTATTATTATTATTATACGACAGCACTATCTTCTTCTCTGAAAACGAGACCGTAACGAGCAGAGACAAACAACAGGGGAGGAAGGAGCGCAAAGACAGAAATCTGGAGACGGAGAAAAAAAAGTATTAATATTATTTGACGGCTTTTCCGGGTAGTGTTCTATTCCTGTAGACAGAGAGCTCTGCGCTTGCTCTTTTAAGGAAGCTTTTCTTTTTTGAGCATTGATTTTGGAAAATATTAGTAAAAGATAAAAAGACAATATGACAAGACCAGGAGAGTGATGTGACAAATCGGCAGAAAATGAATTAATAAACATCTCAAAAGCTTAAAGGAAATCAAGTCGATGCTCCATCCTCAGAAACACACTGTTACAGTTGGCAAAAAAATAATAATTCTGGCATTTGATACAGCGCCTTATCACGTCTTCGCGACGTCTCAAAGCGCTTCACAGGATATACTGCAAAGTGCAGTGGCTGTAAACGTACTCCGTCCTTCAGGATTTTTATTAAAGAGATAAAAATGGCCAATTTGTAGGCCTTTGTCCAACAGGCCATAGAATTATTTATTCAGAATCTCAGTGTAATTCACAATTACAATCTGACTCTGATACCACACTAATAATAATAATCCTTGCACTTGATATAGCGCCTTATCACGTCTTCGAGACGTCTCAAAGCTGACTATACATTAGGATTATATGATTATTATACGGATGTTTGCAGAGCCACTTAAATCAGAAGCAGCTCTGCAAGTGTCCCACTGCTTGGTGGCGAACGTGGCTTCTATTCACTGAGCGGCTAATTTAACACGAGCAGCTTTTTCGGACGTACGGACCGATCTCCTCGGATCCCTGTACGGTGTCTGTTCCGAGCCCGCAGTGTGAAAAACACATCGCTGTACTGTCCGGGCAGAACGATCTGCCTCCTGGCCTCAACAACAACAACAACAACAACCAGATTCCATTTATAGAGCGCCTTTCACGTCGGGAGGACGTCCCAGACCGAGAGTGGCAGCCTGACCAGCCACCGAGCAGGGGGGAAAGAGCTTCCAGCTTGCCGATTCCTGAGGTTCGGAGAGTTAAAAATCCTCCCTCTTGAGGTGGGTGTCCGTTGCCCACAAAAGGCAGCGATCCTTCCTCTCTCCTGCGGGCTTTCAGTCAAACAGCAGCCCTTGCGAGCTAAACGCAGCCTAAACTGTACGGCGTCTCTCGGTGGCACGCAGAAGGGGAGATAGCCGAGGAGTGTAATTACATCTAATAACATTAGCATCAGAGACCGGATCATTGGGGATAATTTTAAACGAGGATCATCGTTTTATATCTGCGGATCAAATGAATTAGGAATTATTCCGTCTATTGTTGGGCTTTTTTTCTTATCTCGGGTCGGAACCGAACCGTCTTGATTTGTTCCGTCGCAGTCCTACAGGAAAGGTTTTTTTTTTTTTTGTCTTCACCCGCTGAAATGCTACACACACACGCGCACGCACAAAAAAAATTGGAAATGATTTATTCAGCCGAGGGACAAAGCTACGTGGTGACAACCTCGAAAGGTCACCAATAATATCACGAACAGACGGATGCGCCGTCGCAGGGAAATAATTGACTTTATGTAACCTTGGTGATCTAAAACCTTACAAATATCTGGATGGACACCCAAATCACATCGTGTTGCATTGCACCTATATTGCCCGCCGCTGAATTGTGTCCACACACTACCCTTGAGCATCAGCCCTTGTAAAGCGGCTTTCGAGCTTATCTTCGGTGAGCAAACAAACCTTGACTGGTCAAGTGTCACCAAAACCATCTCCTACTCCAAACAAAAAATACTCAATAGGCTCAAAAACTTACCCAAATCAATTTGGGGGGAAGTGGTGGTGGTGGGGGGGGGGATA